CTCAGACCCCTTTTGGCCGAAGTGATCACTGTGTTCTTGTCTGGAAGTACAGCCCTTTTTCGGTGCTTGTGGCTCTTGCAATAAGCGAGAGGAATGAATGGAAAGGAGATTATAAGAAAATTAAAGGACAACTTAATGTGACTGACTGGAGCCCTGCATACGCACCTGACCCGAACGACGCCTGGTGCTTTTTAAGGAACTTAACTCAGCAACTAGTAGAAAACTTCTGCCCGCTTAAGAAAAGCTTGCGCATCTCCCGACCCGAATGGGTGACACCGGTCATAAAAAGGAACTAAAAGAAGAAAAGAAGACTGCGGAAAAAAAATGCCCGATATCAGCAGCCCGATCACTATCGGAATTTAAGGAACAACGAAATTTATGTCGAAGACTACTACGAAAAGATCGAATGGCCTTTGAGGCAGAACTAGTCAAGGGAATAGCTCATAACCAAAAAGATTCTTTCTTATGTGAATAAGGCAAAACGCAATCGAGATCCCATTCCTTGTCAGAAAGATAACCAGGAAAACACATTTACGGATAACTCAGATAAGGCGAACCTCTTGTCCAATTTCTTTATGTCTGTGTATACTGGGGAGCCGCCTTTTAACGAGAATGCACAGCAATTTATTTTCCGAGTGGTGCACACAATTGGCACGCTATTGTTTGCAACAAACACAGTAACAAAAAGCCCTGAGACATTTACAGCCCACAAAATCGCCTCGTCCGGATGGATTATCAGCGAAACTTCTGAATGAGCTCGCATTACAACTGGCCTCCCCACTTTCCAAGATCTTTGAAAGTTCTATGGAAAAGGGGGCTCTGTCTACTGACTAGAAGCTGGCTAACATAACACCTATTTATAAAGGGGTAGAGAGAACGTCACCTAATATCTATAGACAAATAGGTCTCACAAGCGTTTGTTGCAAACTAATCGAGAACCTATTCAAAACGGAACTAATGAGACATATTGAGCAGAACAACCTGCTAAGCGCAGCGCAACAGGGATTGCGAAGTTGCCGCTTTTGTCTCACAAACCTGCTAACATCCATAGAAAACTGGACGCAGTCTTTGTAGATGGGTTCGTCGGTCGATGCGGTCTACATTGACTTAAGCAAGGCATTCGATAAGGTTCCACACAGACGACTAATATCAGAGCTGCATCAAATAGGTATGACTGGAAAGCTGCTCAATTGGTTAGCCGACTTTCTAACAGGCAGGCTTCAGCGTGTTTGTATTGGAGACACCAAAACAGAATGAAAAACCGTTTCAAGTGGGGTTCCGCAGGGAAGCGTTCTGGGTCCCATTCTATTCCTGGTATATGTAAACGACTGCCTTGACTGCCTCACCGGTGAGAAAGTCATGTTTGCAGATGATCTAAAGATGCTAAAGGAAATTGGAAGCTCAGAGGATAGACAAAGCTTACAAAATGATTGCTGAAGATGCTAAGCAATGGAATTGCACATACCATGAAAATATTTCCTTGGTATTCGGAAGCATTCATATTCAGTCGCTTCTCTCAATTTAGCGACTATTGCAATATTGAAACTTCAATACAAAACAAT